CTTTAAAATTTTTTTTTTATGTATATAGATTTTTGCCTGCATGTTTGTCTGTGTATCATATCCATGCCTTGAGCCTGTGGAGGTCACAGCAGATGCCTGGAATCTACTTGTGGGCCTCCATGTAGAAGCTGGGAATCAAACCTGTGTCCTCTAGAAGAGCAGCCAGTGCTCTCCAGCCCCCTGCTTTTAATAGCTCTACACTTAGAAAGAGAAAGAGAAAGAGAAAGAAAGAAACTAACTCTAGTCTTAGCATCCTTTTCTTCTCTTCCTATTTATTCTACAACTGTGTAATTCTGTCTTCTATCTCTATCTTGCCAGTTGAGCAAATTGTGTCACAATCTCCTCTGATAGCCATGTTGCAAATCACGTTCACTACCCTTACTTTTCTAGACCTCCCAGTGTTGTAACTCACAAATCACAGCCAGACTTGGAATGCTGCTTTCTTCCTTAGCCCTGTGGCACCACACACTCTGATTTGTTTTCCTGCTAACTCACTGGTGTAACCTGCTCAGGCTTCTCTACTTGTTTCTTCTACCTCTGAAGCTTGGTCTTTTGTTATTCAGTCTCTCTAGAGACAACTGTTCCATCTCATAACTGACAAGACTATCTCTGTGCCAAGGACTCTTCACCCTTCCTTGAGCTTCTTGAACCTAAACTTGACTGCCCAGTGATAACTACTCATTCCTTTTACTCCCTGAGGTACTATAATGAGGTGAGGCAGTGCATAGTTTCCTTCATCTTATAGTCTTGCTGAAGCCATTCCAGATTAAGCTAGAATCTCATCTCCTTGACTGTGAATCCCATGGAAAACAACCCAACTCTATTCTAGGAACCAAAGGTCAAGATGTCCCAGCTAACTTATCTAAGACTTTGTTAAAACTGTTTGTGAGGAACCCCCTCCAGCTGTTTATCTTAGCTGCCAGATTGTGAAAAATCCCCTCCAACTAACCACTTAGCTTCTGTTAAACTGCTTACTTCTTCAAAGCACCTCCCCCTGCACCTACTGAACAGGGTGCCAGGGTGTAGTCTTAGCCTTTAAAAACCCTATGTACTGGATGGGAATGCAGATGTAACAGGGATACTCAAGTTCCTGAACACTTGGATGTGGTCTCAGTCTGCCAGAATAAAGACTTCCAATTGGCTATACACAGTGTCTAAGTGGTCTGAGTGGGTCATCTCTAGTAAGCTCTCCTCAACAGTATCCTGAAGGAAATGTTACCATCTATTCAGTTCATTTTTTCTTTTCTTTCTTTCTTTCTTTCTTTCTTTCTTTCTTTCTTTCTTTCTTTCTTTCTCTTGGTTTTGAGACAGGGTTTCTCTGTGTAGCTTTGGAGCCTATCCTGGCACTCCCTCTGGAGACCAGGATGGCCTCGAACTCACAGATCTGCCTGCCTCTGCCTCCCCAGTGCTGGGATTAAAGGCATGCGCCACCAACGCCTGGCTCAGTTCATTTTCTTTTTCTAAAGATTTACTTTTATTTTATGCATCAATATGAGTATTTTGCCTGCATGTAAGTTAAGTGTATTGTGTGCATACCTGGTGCTTGCAGAGGTCAGAAGAGGGCACAGGTCCCCTGGAACCAGAGTTATAGATGGCTGGAACCTGAACCCAGAACCTCTGTAAGAGCAACAAGTGAGCCATCTCTCAACTCCCTCTCCCTCTCCCTCTCTTGTTTTGGTTTTTTGAGATAGGGTTCCTCTGGCTGTTCTAGAACTCACTCTGTAGACCAAGCTGGCCTTGAACTTAGAGATCTGCCTGCCTCTGCTTCCTGAATGCTAGGACTAAATATGTACATCACCACCACCCACCCAGAAATCTCTCAGTTATTAAAATAAGAGCCAAAGAGTCAGTAAATCTACAGAGTATAGGCTTCAGATCCAGATGGTTAAAAATACAACTCTGTTGTTTATTGTTAGTAGCCATAACTGGGTAAGTTATGACTTTTAAGAAAAGTATAAGCCTTGAAATAAGTAAAACAGAACACTAAGTTCTAAGTTAATTATCCCACAGTTAATTTACAATGATCATTATTCCTCATTTCAAATTCCCAACAAAAAAAATCCTATTGTCAGTCCCCTTGTTTCTGTCTACTTCTCTTCATCTTATTGCCATTGCTTTCTTCATTCAAAACATTCTCACTTTCTTGTTATTAATGCTCCCTCTCGATTTCCACTGTTTCTGTTCTTTCCCTGACAAATCTCCACAAAGCAGCCAACATAAATCTTTAAAACATAAGCCAGAAATAATTCCTGCACTCAAGTCCTGTAGTTTCATCCCATTGTACTTAGTTTCTAATTCAAATTCCTTTCCTTGGTCTTAAGGGTCATAATCTCAATCATATATTATAATGTCTATAGAGTTTATAAAATTATTCCACCTTGAACTCCAAAATAAAGTAAACCAAGCCAGTTGACTTTCTGTTGTTGTTGTTTTGTAAAGTCTTGACAGGCAGATCTCCATGAGTTCGAGGCCAGCCTAGTCTACAGAGTAAGTGCCAGGACAGGCTCCAAACCTACACAGAGAAACCCTATCTCAAAAAAACAAAACAAAACAAACAAACAAAAAAAAAACAAACAAAAGAATAAAGTCTTGGGGCTGGAGAGATGGCTCAGCAGTTAAGAGCACTGACTGCTCTTCCAGAGGTCCTGAGTTCAATTCCCAGCAACCACAGGGTGGCTCACAATTACCTTGAATGAGATCTGGTGCCCTCTGCTGGCATGCAGGCAGAAGACTGTATACATAATAAATAAAAAAATCTTTTAAAAAAAAAAGGTTTCAGGATAAAAAAAAAAAACAATAAAGTCTTGCTTGGGGGTGGGAGGACACACACCTTTAGCCTCAGCATTTGGGAGGCAGAGACAGGCAGATCTGTGTGAGCTCAAGTGTATAGAGCAAGTTCCACGACAGCCAGGACTACACAGAGAAACCCTGTCTCAAAAAATAAAATAAAATAAAGTCTTATTTTGTAACTCAACTCATTTCAAACCTTCATTTTCAGTACTGCAGTACTTGGGAATCAGAGGCAGGTGCAGGCAGACATCTGTGAGTTCAAGTCTAGCCTGCTGTATATAGTGAGCTCCAGACAGCCAGGACTAGGTAGAGAGACCATGCCTCGAAACAAAACAAAACACCAATTTCCATTCTCCTGCTTTAGCCTCCTAAGTGCTAAGACTAAAAGAATGTGTCATCATGACAAAGCAGGTGATTCCTAGGAACAATGAGAATTAAATAATGATTTCACTATCTATTTCTTCAGCCAACCATGCTTTTATTCAAGTATGCATACAGGCTAACTGGCCTTTTTCCTTTTTCTGTGTTATAAATCTACTGTGCCCTGGGGACTTTGTACCAATTACTCTTTTCTACCTGGAAAGCTCTTCCTCAGATCTTTTCATAGTTTTGGCCTCTTCCTGAAGTTCAATCAGCTCTAATACTCTAATACACACACACACACACACACACACACACACACACACACAATGTGTCTATATGTCTATGAATTTTTTGCCTACATGCATGTACATTTGCATGCCTGAGTGGTCCTATAGAAGAGCAGCCAGTGCTCCTAACCACTGAGACATCTCTCCACTCCTGCATTCCTACCCCTCACTGTATATCCTTGGCTGGCCTGGAACTCCCTATATAACATAGGCTGGCCTCAAATTTAGAGAGATCACCTGTTTCTGACTTCCATGTGCTGGCATATGCTACCATACCTGGCTAAATCAAATTTTCTTAGTGAAACCTTCTCAGGCATACATATGAAAACAGACCATTAGAAAGCACCTGACTTTATTTTTAGCAAAGTATTTAAATATGTTTTACACATTACAGTTTTTTCTTCAGGAAGATATGTAAATAAGCAAAAATGTATTCAAGAAATACTTGTGGAAACCAGGCATTGTACCCCATGCCTGCAATCCCATTACTTGAGAGGCTGAAGCAAGATTCAAAGTTGTGAGCAGGTCTGGGCTACATATCAAACTCCAAAAAAAAAAAAAAAAAAAGCAAAAACAAAACAAAACAAAACAAAAAACCCAAAAACCAGTTTTTTGAGGTTTTTTGAGACAAGGTCTCACTATGTATTCCTGGCTGTCTTGGAACTGTTATGTAGATCAGGCTGGCTTCAAACTCATAGAGATCCTCCTGCCTCTGCTTTCAGAGTTCAAGGAATAAAGGCATGCCTACCCTAAAAAATATATTTTTTAAAATTCTTTAGAATTAATAAAGGTCTGTGTCTATGAACAAACGTGTGAAGGAAAGAGTATGTTTGGAAACTAGGTGTCTCACTGTCAAACAGTGATCGTCAAAAGCTCCTTTCTGTTTTATGAACTAGCTCCTTCAGAAGACAGAGTGCTAGCATCTCAGTGTGCTCCCTCTATGAATGACAGCCCAGAGTCACAGGTGACTCCAGCCCTTATAAGAACCACATGACCATAATCCCTTACATTGTCTTCCTTCTGGCTTTTCACAATTGTCAACCAAATTCAAATTCACTGATTTAAATGAATTGAATTCAATTTTCTCACTAAGATTGCAGCAGTTTTACAAAGAGAGAGAAGTGACTCATAAATGCAAAAGCGAAAGAAAGTAAAAGAGGAAAAAGGACTCGGAGAGTTAACTGTGGATGAGAAAGAGTTTACTATCTGAAGCTTGACACTCTAAATGCGCACTGAGCCACTGATATCCAACTGATATCCACTGATATCCACTGATTTCCTGTAATCCTAACACTTGGGAGGTAGAGGCAGAAAATCAGCAGTTCAAGGCCAGCCTTGGCTACATGACTGTCTCACAAGCACAAAGAAAGGAAAGAAAGATATGAACATGGCATAGTTCTTAAGTGGACAAATATAAAATACCTTCAGAGTTCCATCAACCTAAGAAATCTTAAGAGGAAATTAAAAAAAAAACCCAAGTAACTGATTGACCAAGACTATGTTTTAAACTGCTAGTGTCCAAGCTAGGGGGACTGCTGTAACCTAGAAGTGGGGTATTACCTTTGGGATATCTCCTTTAATACCTGGGGGCAGCCGCAGGATCCAGAAGTTCCTATTTCTCAACAAGTTCTCCAGGTTCTCCAGCCGCCGCTGCAGCAGCCCATACTCCTGCAGCAAGGTCCCCAGCACAGCCCACTTGCCATCCAGCTGGTTCCCAAGCTCAGTCACTGTCTTTTCACAGCTGGCTAGTTTCTTCTCTGCTGTCCCTGTCCTGCCTTCTAGGTGGAGAAGTCGCCGGCTGTGGACCTCCACCTTCCTCTCTATGGCCTGCACAGCAGCCACCACTGTCCACAGGGAGATGGCTGCAGTCTGCAGATGTGCCTCATTCGCGGCTGGAGGCGGAGGAAGAGGAAGGGGCTGCAGGGACGTAAGGCATTCCGAGTCCCATTCAGAAGTCTACGTGCAATGGAGAGATGGGGCAAGACATTGAGAGTTAGAAGGAATCCTGACTCTAAACCACAAGCAGAAAAGTACTTAACTGTCCAGCTGATAGTAACCAAAATAGTTTCAGAATAGCTTTACAGTGTCTGTGTCAACCTTGTGGTCTGAAGCCTGTTGGCATCGAAAGCCAAGGGAACTGTTTTGGTGGGTTCAAGAATCGATTGGGAAAGTTAGCAAATAAATAAACTGGCTTCTATGGCCAGCCTGGCCCATTTCTCTAATAAAAGGCCCAGAAGTCCAGGCTGCTGCTTCCTCCTCTGGAAAAGGCAAACTTACACAAGTATTCTTACCAGTTTCACTGGCCTTAATGCCCTCTGACAAATCTCTCAGGAATTTAGACTGGCCCTGTCAATCATTCAGTTTATACACTACAACGATACCAATTGGTAATAATTGAACAGGCTGAGGATGTCTAGTCTAGAGAAAACAGGACAACTATTTTCAAATATTTGAGGGTTATAAAACTGAAGGGAGAACAAGTTTGTTTAGTCTTATACTATAAAAATCTAAAGGACACACTAGAAAAATACATGGAAATTTTCAACCTGGTAACAATGTTTCAATTAGATTTTTATTCCCAAGAAAGTCATAGGCTATTTGTTCATTACTGAATGTACTTTGATACAGAGTATCATCAATGGAAGAAATCCTACAACAAATAGGAGGTAGAACTAAGGCCCTGCAAGGCGGGGTTCTCTGAACCTGACAGCCCACTCTAGCCACTTCTGTGCTCACTTCATGTACTACCACACCCCATTTCATCTGATCTCCAATGCATTCATCGTAACTCCAACTCCAGCCCTATGACGACTCCTTCCATTTGCCCCTGGCCTACCATCTGTGTATGGCTTTGCTTTCTTCCCTGCTTGATCATTTCTGCCACTTTTCAACCCATTTCACTCATGTCTCGAACACCTCACTTCCTCATCTGACCTCCTACTCTGAATGAGTTAAATCATTCACTTTTTTTTTTTTCTTCTACAAGCAGTCAGGTGAGATCTACAAAAGAAAATCATACAACCATGTGAGATGCTGTCAGCATACACTAACTGTCAATGCTCAGTGCCTGGAGGTAGTATTTTCTACAAACTCTCAAACTAATGTGCAAAAGAATCAACTAGAAAAGGCTGGGCAATCAGTCAGGGAGGTACCATAGCAGATAAAGGCACTTGCAGTCAAACCTGATTATCTGAGCTCAATTCCTGGGACCCAAATGGTGGAAGAAGAGAATCATGCTATGCTCTGCACTGAGGAAACCAAGTCAGGAAGACTGCTGTGAGTTTGAGTCCAGTCTGGGCTACCTAGTGAGTACCAAGCCCAGCAAAGGCTACAATAGCAAGACCTTAATCCCAAGTCTCAATGAAAAAAAAAAAAATTGAAAACCCAGCTAAAACACATTTTTTCATTCAGTAAGTGTGAGAAAATGAATGGAGATGGTGTATTTTAAGCAAACTCTAAGGAAATGGATGTTGCATCTGCTGACCCAGGAAGTACACAGGAGGACAAAGACTTGTCAATGCTGTACCTTTACTCTCCAGAGATGACAAGGTGCCTTACTTTAAGAAAATGGCACTTGGGAGGCAGAGGAAGGTGGATTATCTGTGAGTTGGAGGCCAGCGTGTTCTACAAAGCTACACAGGGAAACCCTGTCTCTGAAAACAACAACTACAAAAAAGGAAACTGAAGTAATTAGACCTAACTTTTTCTTCATACTTCTTCCCACAACAAACCTATCATGGATTTATTTCTCAAAGGATTTCGATCTTATTTAAAGCCAGTCCACTTGTACTCTGAATGACAACCCTTTTGCCTTATAAGGTACATTTAAAAACAAACAAACAAACAAACAAAACAGCTAGTGTGATGCACATGCCTTTGATCCAAGCACTTGGAGAGGCAGGAATACTTCTGTGAGTTTGGGGCCAGCCTGACCTATATGTTGGCCTGTTAGGGCTACACAATGAGATTCTGCTCAAATAGACTCAATAGTAGTAGTAGTTGTTGTAGTAGTAGTAAAAAATTGTCAGTGAAGTGCTCAATCACAAATGGGGGCATCCACTCCACTGCCCAACCCCCAAGCTCAGAGACCGTTGAAGAAGAAGAAGAACAAGATTCTAAGACCCAAGGTTGGACTGGAGTGAATCAGTGTCTTCTGGACAGGACAGACTTGCTGCACTCATGAACTCCTATCTGCTGTGGCTGCCTGCATAAGATCAAGCTGGTCAACACAATAGCACAGAAGGGGAGGGGACAGGAGGGTCATAAGCCCCCACCCATAACTGGGGAGCATCTGGGGTAGGGAAAGTCCATGTTTAGGGATGTGGCCCCTGGTAGGTCAATGACATTCCAGTGGATGGCCTACACCAGAGAGTATATGAGAAGCAAATATTGGACTCCATGGATTATTTTAAAAAAAGAGACAAAACTGGGGGACACTGGTAAAGGAAGGAGGAGTGAATCTGGGAGGGGTTAGGAGGGTGAGTGGGGTGAACATGATCAAAATACATTCTATTAAATTCTCAAAGGATAAAAATATTTTAAATCATTTAGATGTATTTGTTTTATGTGTATCAGTATCTTGTCTTCATGTATACATGTGGCACCATGTGCATGCCTGGTGCCCTCAGGGGTCAGAAGAGGGCATCAGATACTCTGGAACTGGGTTACACATTGTTGTGAGTGCTGGATCATGTGAGTGCTGGAACTAAACCCCAGGGCCTCTGCAAGAGCAACAAGTGCCCTTAAATACTGGGCCATCTCTCCAGCCCCTAAAATTATTTCTTAAAATTAAAACAAAAAAATCAGTGTCTCCCAATTCTTCTTCATAAAACAGACTTGCCCTGGTCAGTAACCATAGCCACTGATACCATGTGATCAGCGAGGACCTGAAATCTGGTCAGTTCAACTGAGATATGCTGAATATAAAAAACAGTGGTATGAAGACTTAGTATGAAAATCTGTAAAATCTCATTAATAATTTTGTAATATTGATTGCTATTCAAATTTTGCATACATTACGCTAAATAACACATATCACTGAAACTAATTTCCTACTTTTACTTTTTTTTCTTTCTTTCTTTTTTAAGATACATAATCTGGCTATTTGGCCAAGGATATCCTAAAATATCTGATCCTTCACTCTTAGACTCCCAAATGTGAGCCATGGTTTTACCTCCTAAACATGACTACCACAGAATTAAAAGTATGTACACAGCTTTCAGCATATACCTATAGGATAGATGACGGTCTCTACTGTGTTTTAAATTATTTCTTAGTTTTGAAAAAAATAAATAAGTCCAGGAGTAAGGATGACATTCTCCTCTGCTCTATTCCCCACCCCGTTTCCTTCTTCCTTCTCTTCTGAACCGTTTCTCAGCGGACCTGCCTGGCTTCTGACCTACTAAAACGTCCCTTGGATCTGACCAGAGGCTTCTTAGGTGGCAAACACAAGCAATGCTTTCCAGTCAGAACGCTGCGTTGGACAACCTCTTGCTCGGTGGCTGTGTGCAAGGACTGTCCGGGTGCCCCGGCGGCGGCTCTGCCATCGTCTGTCTACCTGGTGCTCGGCTGGGCCGGCCGCAGGCC